CTCTGGGGAAGTAGTTTCTGGCCAAGGTATTCCTGTCAGTGTTGCCATAATAGGTAACCTCCTGCCCTTGATCATCCTTGATGGTTTCAAAGTTGATTCCATCATTGCTGGTGCTCACTGTGAAGGTGTACACCCACTTCTCTGAAGATGGGCTTCCTTGAGTCAAGATACCTGACAAGTTCTGTGCTGTCTGGAAATCTACTTGATGCCATGGGTTTTTGTCATTGTCACTGTAAAACATTACCATATTTAATGTTATATCAGCACACTTCTTTCATTTATACAAAACAAACACACACACACACACACACACACACACACACACACACACACACACACACACACACACACACACACACACACACACACACACAAAACAAAGCAAAGCAAATCAAACAAAGCAAAGTTTTCCTGACTATAACAGAGACTGGTTGATATTAAAATGTAGCTCACAGACTACTTACTACTTTTTCATATTCCAACTTACTTCATCCTCATAAAAATGCTATCTAACAAGTTTGAGCAACTAAGTAGATAGAGACAAATACTACTGAAGAAAAGAGACTCACTCTGGTTGCCAAGAGTAGACTGGATTTTGCATACGTCCATCACTGGGCAGAGTTCCTGTGCCTTGATCGCTAGATGCTGTCAGCAGCCTATTTGGCATGAGGCTAACCACATCCACATTCATGGGCACGTTGCAAATAACATCTGGAAAAGGACACATGCCGTTACAGAACTGTGATTTCTTAGATTCGCACAAGTTATTTTCAGTCCTATTTGATTACTGACAAACAGTAAAAACTTTCAAATTTTACAGGTCAGCTCATGCTTCTCAGAATACAGCAACAAGCAAGAAACAAATGCTGCACTCACACATCAGGTCACAATCGTTTTAGTCCAGGGGCTCCTCTCATTCAAATGTTTAACCAGTTAACTCTATCGCTAATGCTGTCTTAGCATACACATTCCTTGAGCCTCACTAAAACTTTTCCACAATTAACACGGATGTCACCAGATCGAACCCATTACACATCAGATTATTTTCACTTTACTGACATTCATTCACAGCAAGAAATCATTCCACTTACTAGGCACCAGTGTAAACGGTGTAGGGGGAGCCACTGTAGGGGAGGTGGGTATCGATGACCAGGAAGACGGCCAGGTTGACGACACCGTTGGGATGCCTGTGGGACCAGTTGGTGGTTGAACAAATGGCACTGTCGGCCTCGGTGTGGAAACATCCGAGAAAAAGCAACCGATGTAATTCACCCTCAAGGCAGGTCCACCTGCAGCCCACGTCTTTGGATTCACTCGCACGTAGCGGGCTACAGTCACCTGCAGACATTTTCATTCAATAGTCAACAATTTCATTTTCAGTGCATCTTCAGCTTAATACTTCCAGACCTACTTTTCAAACATAATCAAACTTTTACCACTCCTGGAGAACTCAGCATGACTCCACTCCATAAGTGTTACATATCTAGATGGACAGGCACACATTTCTGAAAACAAATACAAACATAGAAACGACTAGACACAAAATATTCTCAACCCTCTCATTTCCTACAAAACTTAGAAACACTCACTCTGGGAAAGTAGTTTCTGGCCAAGGTATTCCTGTCAGTGTTGCCATAATAGGTAACCTCCTGCCCTTGATCATCCTTGATGGTTTCAAAGTTGATTCCATCATTGCTGGTGCTCACTGTGAAGGTGTACACCCACTTCTCTGAAGATGGGCTTCCTTGAGTCAAGATACCTGACAAGTTCTGTGCTGTCTGGAAATCTACTTGATGCCATGGGTTTTTGTCATTGTCACTGTAAAACAATACCATATTTAATGTTATATCAGCACACTTCTTTCATTTACACAAAACAAACACACACACACACACACACACACACACACACACACACACACACACACACACACACACACACACACACTCACACACACACTAAGCAAAACAAAGCAAACAAAGCAAAGTTTTCAGGACTATGACAGAGACTGGTTGATCTTAAAATGTAGCCTCACAGACTACTTACTACTTTTTTGTATTCCTACTTTCTTCATCCTCATAAAAATGCTAACTATAAAGTTTGAGCAACTAATTAGATAGAGACAAATAGTATTGCAGAAAAGAGACTCACTCTGGTTGCCAAGAGTAGACTGGATTTTGCATACGTCCATCACTGGGCAGAGTTCCTGTGCCTTGATCGCTCGATGCTGTCAGCAGCCTATTTGGCATTAGGCTAACCACATCCACATTCATGGGCACGTTGCAAATAACATCTGGAAAAGGACACATGCCGTTACAGAACTGTGATTTCTTACATTCGCCCAAGTAATTTTCAGTCCTATTTGTTTACTGACACACAGTAAAAACTTTCCAATTTTACAGGTCAGCTCATGCTTCTCAGAATACAGCAACAAGCAAGAAACAAATGCTGCACTCACACATCGGATCACAATCGTTTTAGTCCAGGAGCACCTCTCATCCAAATGTATAACCAGTTAACTTTATCGCTAATGCTGTCTTAACGTACACATTCCTTGAGTCAAACTAAAACTTTTCCACAATTAACACGGATGTCACCAGATTGAACCCATTACACATCAGATTATTTTCACTTTGCTGATATTCATTCACAGCAAGAAATCATTCCACTTACTAGGCACCAGTGTAAACGGTGTAGGGGGAGCCACTGTAGGGGAGGTGGGTATCGATGACCAGGAGGACGGCCAGGTTGACGACACCGTTGGGATGCCTGTGGGACCAGTTGGTGGTTGAACAAATGGCACTGTCGGCCTCGGTGTGGAAACATCCGAGAAAAAGCAACCGATGTAATTCACCCTCAAGGCAGGTCCGCCTGCAGCCCATGTCTTTGGATTCACTCGCACGTAGCGGGCTACAGTCACCTGCAGACATTTTCATTCAATAGTCAACAATTTCACTTTCAGTGCATCTTCAGCTTAATACTTCCAGATCAACTTTTCAAACATAATCAAACTTTTACCACTCCTGGGTCCACGATCTCCCGCCTACGAACAGAACATATACAGCTCAACTTCCACCGGAACAGAATAAACTCGGAACTTCCCCCAATGTGTCCCTTGTGTGACTATGCATATGAGACTGTGGAGCATCACCTGTTCCACTGCACAGCCCTAAATGACATCAGAGATACCCTTCTCCCTCCGAGACCTAACATTGACAACACACTCTATGGAACATTACAGCAACTGCAGCAAACCTGCACTTATCACATGGCATTGGACAGAAGGGCAAGAGCCCAGCTGTTGCTGGATAGATAACAACAACATAACAACAACAACAACCACTCCTGGAGAACTCAGCATGACTCCACTCCATAAGTGTTACATATCTAGATGGACAGGCACACATTTCTGAAAACAAATACAAACATAGAAACGACTAGACACAAAATATTCTCAACCCTCTCATTTCCTACAAAACTTAGCAACACTTACTCTGGGGAAGTAGTTTCTGGCCATGGTATTCCTGTCAGTGTTGCCATAATAGGTAACCTCCTGCCCTTGATCATCCTTGATGGTTTCAAAGTTGATTCCATCATTGCTGGTGCTCACTGTGAAGGTGTACACCCACTTCTCTGAAGATGGGCTTCCTTGAGTCAAGATACCTGACAAGTTCTGTGCTGTCTGGAAATCTACTTGATGCCATGGGTTTTTGTCATTGTCACTGTAAAACAATACCATATTTAATGTTATATCAGCACACTTCTTTCATTTACACAAAACAAACACACACACACACACACACACACACACACACACACACACACACACACACACACACACACACACATACACACACACACTCACACACACACAAAGCAAACAAAGCAAAGTTTTCAGGACTATGACAGAGACTGGTTGATCTTAAAATGTAGCCTCACAGACTACTTACTACTTTTTTGTATTCCTACTTTCTTCATCCTCATAAAAATGCTAACTATAAAGTTTGAGCAACTAATTAGATAGAGACAAATAGTATTGCAGAAAAGAGACTCACTCTGGTTGCCAAGAGTAGACTGGATTTTGCATACGTCCATCACTGGGCAGAGTTCCTGTGCCTTGATCGCTAGATGCTGTCAGCAGCCTATTTGGCATTAGGCTAACCACATCCACATTCATGGGCACGTTGCAAATAACATCTGGAAATGGACACATGCCGTTACAGAACTGTGATTTCTTACATTCTCCCAAGTAATTTTCAGTCCTTTTTGTTTACTGACACACAGTAAAAACGTTCAAATTTTACAGATCAGCTTATGCTTTTCAGAATACAGCAACAAGCAAGAAACAAATGCTGCACTCACACATCGGATCACAATCGTTTTAGTCCAGGAGCTCCTCTCATCCAAACGTACAACCAGTTAACTCTATCGCTAATGCTGTCTTAACGTACACATTCCTTGAGCCTCACTAAAACTTTCCACAATAAACACGGATGTCACCAGATTGAACCCATTACACATCAGATTATTTTCACTTTACTGACATTCATTCACAGCAAGAACTCATTCCACTTACTAGGCACCAGTGTAAATGGTGTAGGGGGAGCCACTGTAGGGGAGGTGGGTATCGATGACCAGGAGGACGGCCAGGTTGACGACACCGTTGGGATGCCTGTGGGACCAGTTGGTGGTTGAACAAATGAAACTGTCGGCCTCGGTGTGGAAACATCCGAGAAAAAGCAACCGATGTAATTCACCCTCAAGGCAGGTCCGCCTGCAGCCCACGTCTTTGGATTCACTCGCACGTAGCGGGCTACAGTCACCTGCAGACATTTTCATTCAATAGTCAACAATTTCATTTTCAGTGCATCTTTTGCATAATTCTTCCAGACCTACTTTTCAAAAATAGTCAACAATCTCATTTTCAGTGTTTACCTCTGCATCATACACAGTAAAATCTCAAAGCACAATTCCTTTTGATAGTCAAAAGCTTACCTCTAACATACATACTTCAACACTTGATTTTGACACATGATCAAACTTTTACCACTCCAGGAAAATTCAGCATCACTCCACTCCACCAATGCTATATATCTAAATAAACAGTCAACCTTTCTGAAAACAAATGCAAATATAGAAACTGCAGGACAAACAATATTCTCAACCCTCTCACTTTCTCCACAACTTAGCAACACTCACTCTGGGGAAGTAGTTTCTGGCCAAGGTATTCCTGTCAGTGTTACCATAATAGGTAACCTCCTGCCCTTGATCATCCTTGATGGTTTCAAAGTTGATTCCATCATTGCTGGTGCTCACTGTGAAGGTGTATACCCACTTCTCTGAAGATGGGCTTCCTTGAGTCAAGATACCTGACAAGTTCTGGGCTGTCTGGAAATCTACTTGATGCCATGGGTTTTTATCGTTTTCACTGCAAAACATTATTGCCATTAATAATGTATCAGCACATCACTTTCATCTATACAAATCACAAAATCACAAAATCATACACACACACACACACACACACACACACACACACACACACACACACACACACACACACACACACACAAGCACGCAAGCATGCACACACACACACACACATATACACTCAAAAAGAAAAACTACCATAACAACTAAAGAGACTATTTGATCCTGAAAGGTAGCTAATAAGCAAAACTGAAAAATCATACTTACAGACAGCGTACTTTCTCATTCTTCAACTTACTTGTCCCTCATACAAAGGGAGACTTACAAGCTTGATCAACTAATTAGATGGAAACATCTAGCACTGAGGAAAAGAGACTCACTCTGGTTGCCAAGAGTAGACTGGATTTTGCATACGTCCATCACTGGGCAGAGTTCCTGTGCCTTGATCGCTAGATGCTGTCATCAGTCTATTTGGCATCAGGCTAACCACATCCACATTCATGGGCACATTGCAAATAACATCTGGAAAAGGACACAAACCGTTACTTCACCATGATTTAAGAGCTTCTCTTCAGTAATTTTCACTCACTTTTGTTCACACTGACAAACAGTATACACTTTTACAGTTTACAGGTCACCTCATGCATCTCAGAAACCAGCAACAGGCAAGGACCACATATTCAGCTCAAATGCCCGATACCCATTTTTAAATTCCAGCAGCCCCCTCTATCAAAATATACCACAACTAGTAGAGCATTGCTGTTTAGCCTTTCACAGTCACACCTGGCTTTTAGATCTATATTGCTTTAGATTAGGTCTGCTTTGATTAACTTCTCTCTTGATCTAAATTGCTTTAGTGTATTGCTGTTTAGCCCTTCACAATCACAAAATACGGTTTTCGCCTTACATCATCACAAAAAAGCACTAAGAAAATAATAATCCACGAAAGGGCTGCTACACTGTAAAGGGAACACACCGACGTCTTAAAAATCACAGAGGCAGTGTCGACAGCTTATTCACTTTCCTGTGACAGCATTTTAAAAACTTGTAGCTCATTGACAAATTTACCTATGAACACAAAACTTTGCATGGCACTTCTACAAGCTAGCAACCAAACAAAAATTATTTTCTAAAATCTTGACCCAGTAATAAAAAAGTTTTTTCTTTGAGCCCGATATTAAAAACAACTCTTTGGATGCATACACAGGATCACGTCTCTACGTACAACAGGTGAGTCTCGAAAATTACTCACCCCGTCTTTTGAATCATGTTTCCTTGGCGAATGTTAAAGAGCAGTATGAACTTCAGTTGTGAAGGGAAGAGCTACGCACATTTGTTTCCTTTCTCAGTTGAATAATCACAAATGCCAAAGAAGGAGGGGAACTTTTTGTCAAATATATTTTTCTAAAATCAGGAAACGAATAAATAAAAAATCGGGCTCCGTCACAGGGACTTATCTATCTTTTTGCAGGTACTTGCCAACTTTCAACTTTGTAGCTGTCGTACTTTTATGGGAAAAGTGGCACATGTTTTTCCAAGTAGACAAATATATAATAGATACCACCAGCAAACTTTAATGCCAATGTCATCTTACAGCATGCACTCCTTGAGTCCCTCCATTTCCTTTCCACAGCTTATCGGGGATGTTGCAAAAGTGAACCCATTACACATCAGATTATTTTCACCTTACTGACATTCATTCACAGCAAGAAATCATTCCACTTACTAGGCACCAGTGTAAACGGTGTAGGGGGAGCCACTGTAGGGGAGGTGGGTATCGATGACCAGGAGGACGGCCAGGTTGACGACACCGTTGGAATGCCTGTGGGACCAGTTGGTGGTTGAACAAATGGCACTGTCGGCCTCGGTGTGGAAACATCCGAGAAAAAGCAACCGATGTAATTCACCCTCAAGGCAGGTCCACCTGCAGCCCACGTCTTTGGACTCACTCGCACGTAGCGGGCTACAGTCACCTGCAGACATTTTCATTCAATAGTCAACAATTTCATTTTCAGTGCATCTTCGGCTTAATACTTCCAGACCTACTTTTCAAACATAGTCAACAATCTCATTCTCAGTGTATCCCTCTGCATCATACACAGTAAAATCTAAACGCACAATTCCTTTTGATAGTCAAAAGCCTTACCTCTAACATATATACTTCAACACTTGATTTTGACACAAGATCAAACTTTTACCACTCCAGGAAAATTCAGCATCACTCCACTCCACCAATGCTATATATCTAAATAAACAGTCAAACCTTTCTGAAAACAAATGCAAACCTAAGAACTGCTGGACAAACAATATTCCCAACCCTCTCACTTTCTCCACAACTTAGCAACACTCACTCTGGGAAAGTAGTTTCTGGCCAAGGTATTCCTGTCAGTGTTACCATAATAGGTAACCTCCTGCCCTTGATCATCCTTGATAGTTTCAAAGTTGATTCCATCATTGCTGGTGCTCACTGTGAAGGTGTACACCCACTTCTCTGAAGATGGGCTTCCTTGAGTCAAGATACCTGACAAGTTCTGGGCTGTCTGGAAATCTACTTGATGCCATGGGTTTTTATCGTTGTCACTGCAAAACATTATTGCCATTAATATTGTATCAGCACATCACTTCCATCTATACAAATCACAAAAATACAAACACATACACACACACACACACACATACACACACGCATGCATGCAAGCATGCACACACACACACACACACATACACACACACACTCAAAAAGAAATATACCATGACAACTAAAGAGACTATTTGATCCTGAAAGGTAGCTAATAAGCAAAACTGAAAAATCATACTTACAGACAGCGTACTTTCTCATTATTCTACTTACTTGTCCCTCATACAAAGGGAGACTTACAAGTTTGATCAACTAATTAGAAGGGAACAACTTGGACTTAGGAAAAGAGACTCACTCTGGTTGCCAAGAGTAGACTGGATTTTGCATACGTCCATCACTGGGCAGAGTTCCTGTGCCTTGATCGCTAGATGCTGTCATCAGCCTATTTGGCATCAGGCTAACCACATCCACATTCATGGGCACATTGCAAATAACATCTGGAAAAGAACACAAGCTGTTACTTCACCATGATTTAAGAGCTTCTCTTTAGTAATTTTCACTCACTTTTGTTCACACTGACAAACAGTATACACTTTTACAGTTTACAGGTCACCTCATGCATCTCAGAAACCAGCAACAGGCAAGGAGCACATATTCAGCTCAAATGCCCGATACCCATTTTTAAATTCCAGCAGCCCCCTCTATCAAAATATACCACAACTAGTAGAGTACCCAGATTTGCTCGGGGTGAGCGCCTTGGCGTCACTGCTCCTACTGGTCTAGGCCACTGAGGCATTTTACATCTACATTGCTGTTTAGCCTTTCACAGTCACACCTGGCTTTTAGATCTATATTGCTTTAGATTAGGTCTGCTTTGATTAACTTCTCTCTTGATCTAAATTGCTTTAGTGTATTGCTGTTTAGCCCTTCACAATCACAAAATACGGTTTTCGCCTTACATCATCACAAAAAAGCACTAAGAAAATAATAATCCACGAAAGGGCTGCTACACTGTAAAGGGAACACACCGACGTCTTAAAAATCACAGAGGCAGTGTCGACAGCTTATTCACTTTCCTGTGACAGCATTTTAAAAACTTGTAGCTCATTGACAAATTTACCTATGAACACAAAACTTTGCATGGCACTTCTACAAGCTAGCAACCAAACAAAAATTATTTTTAAAAATCTTGACCCAGTAGTAAAAAAGTTTTTTCTTTGAGCCCGATATTAAAAACAAATCTTTGGATGCATACACAGGATCACGTCTCTACGTACAACAGGTGAGTCTCGAAAATTACTCACCCCATCTCTTGAATCATGTTTCCTTGGCGAATGTTAAAGAGCAGTATGAACTTCCGTTGTGAAGGGAAGAGCTACGCACATTTGTTTCCTTTCTCAGTTGAATAATCACAAATGCCAAAGGAGGGGAACTTTTTGTCAAATATATTTTTCTAAAATCAAGAAACGAATAAATAAAAAATTGGGCTCCGTCACGGGGACTTATCTATCTTTTTGCAGGTACTTGCCAACTTTCAACTTTGTAGCTATCGTACTTTTATGGGAAAAGTGGCACATGTTTCCAAGTAGACAAATATATAATAGATACCACCAGCAAACTTTAATGCCAATGTTATCTTAGAGCATGCATTCCTTGAGTCCCTCCATTTCCTTTCCACAGCTTATCGGGGATGTTGCAAAAGTGAACCCATTACACATCAGATTATTTTCACCTTACTGACATTCATTCACAGTAAGAAATCATTCCACTTACTAGGCACCAGTGTAAACGGTGTAGGGGGAGCCACTGTAGGGGAGGTGGGTATCGATGACCAGGAGGACGGCCAGGTTGACGACACCGTTGGAATGCCTGTGGGACCAGTTGGTGGTTGAACAAATGGCACTGTCGGCCTCGGTGTGGAAACATCCGAGAAAAAGCAACCGATGTAATTCACCCTCAAGGCAGGTCCACCTGCAGCCCACGTCTTTGGACTCACTCGCACGTAGCGGGCTACAGTCACCTGCAGACATTTTCATTCAATAGTCAACAATTTCATTTTCAGTGCATCTTCGGCTTAATACTTCCAGACCTACTTTTCAAACATAGTCAACAATCTCATTCTCAGTGTATCCCTCTGCATCATACACAGTAAAATCTAAACGCACAATTCCTTTTGATAGTCAAAAGCCTTACCTCTAACATATATACTTCAACACTTGATTTTGACACAAGATCAAACTTTTACCACTCCAGGAAAATTCAGCATCACTCCACTCCACCAATGCTATATATCTAAATAAACAGTCAAACCTTTCTGAAAACAAATGCAAACCTAGGAACTGCTGGACAAACAATATTCTCAACCCTCTCACTTTCTCCACAACTTAGCAACACTCACTCTGGGGAAGTAGTTTCTGGCCAAGGTATTCCTGTCAGTGTTACCATAATAGGTAACCTCCTGCCCTTGATCATCCTTGATGGTTTCAAAGTTGATTCCATCATTGCTGGTGCTCACTGTGAAGGTGTACACCCACTTCTCTGAAGATGGGCTTCCTTGAGTCAAGATACCTGACAAGTTCTGGGCTGTCTGGAAATCTACTTGATGCCATGGGTTTTTATCGTTGTCACTGCAAAACATTATTGTAATTAATATTGTATCAGCACATCACTTCCATCTATACAAATCACAAAAATACTAACACATACACACACACACACACATACACACACGCATGCATGCAAGCATGCACACACACACACACACACACACACACATACACACACACACTCACAAAGAAATATACCATGACAACTAAAGAGACTATTTGATCCTGAAATGTAGCTAATAAGCAAAACTGAAAAATCATACTTACAGACAGCGTACTTTCTCATTATTCTACTTACTTGTCCCTCATACAAAGGGAGACTTACAAGCTTGATCAACTAATTAGATGGAAACAACTAGCACTGAGGAAAAGAGACTCACTCTGGTTGCCAAGAGTTGACTGGATTTTGCATACGTCCATCACTGGGCAGAGTTCCTGTGCCTTGATCGCTGGATGCTGTCATCAGTCTATTTGGCATCAGGCTAACCACATCCACATTCATGGGCACATTGCAAATAACATCTGGAAAAGGACACAAGCCGTTACTTCACCATGATTTCGGAGCTTCTCTTCAGTAATTTTCACTCACTTTTGTTCACACTGAC